GTTATCAAAGAGAAAATTCATGTCAGTATCAAAACAAATAATTATTTTTGTGTAACACTATATGAAATTGTAAGTCAATAAAAATTTTGTGAAATGTCCAGTGACTGCTTGAGTTCATCCCATGTCGCAGGGGTGGTATTAGATGATGCCCTTTGTATGTTTTGTTCTATTTTGTTGTGGGACTCAGGATTTAGGAGCATGGTTGTATTCATTCACCATATATTGGATTTCTTTTTGGTTTGGGCCTGGAGGATTAGGGCTCTATGGTCTGAGTCACTCCCCATATGCTTTGTTGTTGTTGTGTGAGTTGTGGAGATTAATGAGGGGTGTGCCCAAATGTAGTCTATTCAGGATCGTGACCAGTAGTTTTGGGTATCCCAGTAATGAGTGAACTGGGGATTTGTACTGGTTGTGGAAGCTGTGTCAATGAGGTTGCTCAGGTGTGGAAGAACCAGATTGGAGAGGGGTTGGATTTGGTGTGATGTGGAGATGTGGTCATATCGATGAAGGATGGTGTTGAAATCCCCTGCAATGACGGTGGGTTGTGATGGAAGGGGGGGGGAAATTGTGCCAGAATTGTCATTTTTTTGTTAGGTTTGCTGGGGTGTAGACATTTCGAAGGGTAAAAGAGCATCCATGGCAGTTTTTGATGAGAACATCCAGAATTCTTCCTTCTTCCAAGGTCTGGATTAAGGAGGATGACATAGTGTGGTGAATGAGTGTTGCAGTGTAAGGAGTGATGTAGATGTCCCCTTGCCATAAAGTTTTCCACTTGTGGGACATAATAGATAACAAGGCAGGAGTTTGGTTTTTGCCTGTGATATGTATAGGTTCTTGTATGAGTATGATATCTGGTCGATATTTGGTGAGCTTGTGAATGAGACATCTGAATTTTTGGAATTTTGTTAAACCACGTGCATTAATCGATATAATGTTCATGTTGGTATGACATAGTTTATTCTTTTTGGGCATGTGGTGAGATGCTGATGAGATAGTCTTCCATCTCTGTATCACCATCAGGGGGCAGGTTTGTTCTAGCTGCTTCTTCGTCCTCATCTGTGAATGGTGCTGTTGTGTAGTTAAGGATGTCTTGTTCAAGACATTGTTCCTGGTTTTGTAGGTATTCTATTGTTGCCATATCAGTTCTCATGGAGTTGCCTGAGTATAAGTCACTGGGGGCAGACAGCGGAAGTGATCCTTTGTTCCCCTGGAGGACCAATTGAGGGTAGTATACTTTGGCTTGGTTTTTTGGGAGGGGTGTTGGGGTGTCTGGGGCAGCAATTGTAATTGCTGCATATGACATGTATGTTTGTGGCTGTTGCAGGGGTGTGTGGAACTGTTGTGAGTTGTATCCTGCCTGTGAGATACTTGGTGTCATGTTGCTCTTACTGGAAGAGGCAATTGTTGTGGTTGTTTGGTGTTCCACAGGCTTAGGGGGTTTGGTTTTATTTTTGCTGATCGATTTTTTCAGGGTTTCCGCCATGGTCTTTTTTGGTGGAAATGTGGGGCATACACTGGAGTAGTGTCCTGCGGTTTTGCAAGAGAGACAAGATGGGGGTGCCCCTCTCCAGGTTGCAAGGACTGTAGCATTTTCATATTCCCAAGTGACTGGGGCCTGTAACGCTTGGACTTCTGGAGGGACTTGGACAATTAAGTCCCATCAGCGAGTAAGGATCTCAGTTCCTTTGTAAGTGTAAGGGGCGATCACTTTAACACTGGCATATTGTGCCCAGTGGTTTGTGATGTCCTGTTCAAGTTTTTTTCTGGGAAGGTGTAGAGGAACATTGGCCATCTTGACCCGTAAGGTTCTAGGTGCTGTCTCCTTTGGAGAGAGGGGGATGATAAGTTTTTCATTAATAGTAATGCCCTCTACAAGGAGGGTTTTGGCAAGCGAAGGGTTTTTGAGAGTAATTTCAAGAAAGTTAGATTCTTGCCGGAAGGCAATACCATTAATTTCATCTTTGAGTGCTTCAAAGAGCTGCTCTTCAGACACAGGAAGGTTGCGTAGGTCAAAGAATAGGGAGTTATGTGGGTCTGTTTTAGGGACATCCCTGTTGGAGATGTAGGCATCGAATTTCAGCTTACATTCAGTGTTTGAGAAAGCAAAAGGGGAAACTTTTTTCACAGAAGGGACTTTATTTGCTTGTTGGGGAGTGAGGGCAGGACCCTTCCCCTTGATTTTAGTAGTAGACATAAGTAACAATTGATAACCTTTATAAACTCTCTTTAGTGGAAGGTTTCTATCTTTTACTGTGGATATTTATGGTTGTTGTCTTTGGGTCTTGTGTGACTCCATAAAGTTGAAGGAATAAATGATTTTGTGAACACCTGGCATGATTTCTGAACTATCAAATAAATAATAAATAGAGTCAGCTTAAATATCACTTTAATTAATACTACCAATCATTGCTTACCTCAGAAATAATTAATTCTGGCATTTCATCAAAATTTTTAAATCGTTTGAGTACAACAGTTTCCTCTTCCATACACTCTACTTCCGAATACTTTTTATACTTGGCAGTATAAACTGTTCCATACCACCAGTGCTGATCTGTTTAATATCATAAAAGTCACTATATTGCATGTACTTTACATTATCCTTATTCATATAAACATGTCCAGTATCACACGTATATCATAGTAGAACACTAAATAATATTCCCAAGTAGATGGCTCCTGAGTTGGTGGGCCCTTTATTCAGTACAGCTATGTGGACTGCTAAAGCTGATTGAGTAGATGGCTCCTGATTTGGTGGGCCCTTTATTCAGCACAGCTACGTGGACCGCTAAAGCTGTTAGTAGATGGCTTCTGATTTGGTGGGCCCTTTATTCAGCACAGCTACGTGGACTGCTAAAGCTGTTAGTAGATGGCTCCTGAGTGATTCCAATTATCCAAATATTATCAGGTGTTAATATCATCGGATATTCCTCAGTTAACTATTTTGAGTAACAGAATACGACGTTACAACACTGGTCAATTGAATGCATTATACTAATACTAATACGCACTTATCAATTACATTGTTTACATGCATAATTTACCTGATGAAAATTATCAGTTTGTTCATCAACCATTTTTTTGAGTGTTACATGGGTCAATTCATTCCATTCTGCTATGTGCGTGCATCCATGGCGTAATGGTGTCATCTCTTGTACATTTTTTACAGGGAATATTCTATCCATTGTATATACGCATCATGTACGTTAGCTGTATTACTCCACGACTCTATAATAAATGAATTCAATGAATTGTAGCCAGTCATCCGATCAGGAGGGTTTGGTGCTCTACATTCGAAACAGAATGCATTTATCTTGGGTTCTAGTTGCTCTGTACACACCAGACATAATCCATATTCATAGAATTCTTTTAATAGACAATACTTTCTTTCCCATTCATCGTATGTAAATCTGATGGTAACCCAAACATCCGTGTTAAGAATATCAGGATGCTTATCACATAACTAATGATACATAATAATAAGTCAATGATTATTTAAATTCAATAAACATGACGCATAAGTAAATAGTTTACCTCGGCATGATATAAATCATGTGTCTCATCTGTTATCTCAAGTGGAATCAGTTTAACAGGCCAATAAATAGGTAGACCATACAAGTACATCCCATCATAAATACAATCGAATGGAATCCATTCCAAATAGGCGTCATTTGGTGAGTTTGTTTGTAGTTGAGATTTCTTAATAAAGTCATCGAGTTGGTGATTGTTGCTAGTCCACCCATCGGATAATTGTTTATAACCACAAATGCACCACACGGGACTACATCGGAGTATTCCACATGTGGAGCAGAAGCCATAAAGAGAATAACAATGGTAAAAGCGTTTATTAGCAACCATGTAATAGTTATCGTCATTAGACTTGGTGAATCCAGTAATGAGTTTGTTGCGATAAGTAAGCCAGTCGGAGTATCTTCTGAACTGATTATCGTCATTGTTATTATACTTTTGTGTTGGAAGTGAGTATATTCTAGCAAACTCACACACAACTGTTGCTGTACATTCTTCGCTACTTCCAAGTAATACCAGCGTTACATAAGGATAACCCTTGCACTTAGCGTAGTAAACGTTGTCAATTTGAGTTGGTTCAACGTTGGTGATTGCCTCGTAAGGTATCCATTTCAGTCTTAAGTATTCATTTTTGCTTTCCAAGGAGGATTCAAGCAAGTTGGCAATGGCTGGATTATTATAAACAGTCTCTGATGCTAACGACATAATAATAGTTTGAATTAGAAAATTCTTTTCGAATGAAACACAACGTTAGTTCTCAACACTTGTGTTACACATCCGCAGGTACATCGTTTCACGGCGCTTTTGTCCTGATGCACGTACAGTATACTATTCTCCAATGTAAGTTTTCACCGAGACTTTTTTGGCGGTCTTCTAACGTCTGTTTAGTGAATAATGTTAAAAGACAGGCCCTAAATATCATCTGTTAGTCTCATACTCAATTACAGTCGCTTCATAATCGTTATAATCGTCTCATAACCATTCAGCAAGCTTTCTTTTCTTGACTTCTGCTAAGTAGAGCGATTACGTTATACGTTTGTTGTTCAGAAGAGACTCAGAAATCACTGAGTCATAGAAAGTTTTCAAGTTACAATCACGAATTTTGAAAAAAGCGGGAACTAAATTAATTTTAATACCTGGTATTGCAGCAGCGAATAAAATTTAGAACCAGAATGCTGTCGATCATTAACCGCTGTCATGTTTACAAGCCTAAATTTCGACATGTTACCGCTCTCCCTGCATTGTAAGAATAAAGAAAAAAAACAATGAATCAACAGATATAGTATTAGGAAATTTTCATCACTGAGCAAGTCTCAAGCAAAAAAATGATAAATAGATAAACAACTGTCAATACGTATATTATTGAGAATGTCAGTTTCCATACATTTAGTTGAAATTTCCTTCAAGTCTCCTCGCTGGTTACGTCTTTGCTCTCTTCCACGTCATTTCCAAGAGTGCAGTTAACTATTTCTGGTCATTGTTTTCTTCCATCACCTTTCAACTTATGGATCGGCAGACGAATAAATCATTTGTTGTAAAGTTGTCTTTTCCTAACAATTTGTTGGATGCGATGAAGTTTTTCATTATAATCAATTAGTAATCAAATAGACTGCTCTGACAAATTTTCGTAATAGTCTTACAACCAGATTAAACAGACAATTTACTTACAATAATTGGACAAGCGCAGATATACTACCGTGGTACATTTCCGGTAATAGGCTGCTAACACTATGCATAACATGACTAAGAGACTTCGAGATAGGGCGCGCATCGCTGGCGTGTCCAATATTTTCCTGAATTGTTTAAATAATTACTCTGCATATGTAAGACAATACGATCAGATTATTGTACAAACATCCTTTATGAAACAATAACTAAACTGGATGACTCAAGACTTTTTCAAAATAGATAGGGAAAAAAGAAACTTGCTGATAGGTTGCAATCTTGTAAAAATAGCTCTTCTGACTTGGAGTTCGATTATCTACGCTGGATCAAACAAATTTCACATTTAAAAGCAAATATTGACTTTTATAATAGAGTTTATTTTAGTTACCGCTTACAGCTCTTTGTCTGAGAGACGACATTCTATTTATCGATTGATCAAAATTCACTGATAAAGAACAAATGCTACGATTAAGGCCTGAAATCAACAAATTGGTCTAAAAAATTTGTAACTTTGCGTTTTAACTTTCAGATCGACAAGGCCATGATGCTGTACTGGAAAAACACTCACATCATTGATTTGTTTATACCTTAGTAACAGCATTAGGAGGAACTGTATATAACTATTTAACGTAATAGCATGTTCTGAAAACGCGCTCTCGCGTACGTCCTAGTAAATTACGTCGATTTGGGTTTGAATGAGAAACCCACTATTTGTAAATCAAAAAACACGAATGTTGTTAAAGCAATTAATTAGAAAGTTATTCTTCAGGAAATCAGAAACTTGATGTAGAAAAACATTCTACAAACCGCCATTATATACGTGGCTTATCGGTAGTAAATATCCCAATAACCGCCATTTGACCGCCCGTGAGAATTACGACACTAAGCTATTACAGAGATTAGTTTAATTAAATCCATACGCGTGGCTTATAAATAAAAAAGGTTTCACTGGTCGCTACCTGTGAGAATAAAAATTTTATGACTTGAAAACTTTCACTATTGCGTACTCCAGAACGTTAGATTTCGATGTCATTACTATCATGGAGATAAATCACACGCGCGGATTATTATCCCATTGATTGCTACCTCCAAAAACTTTTTACTACACTTGTATCAATACCGTTCATGCTTTCACACCCCTTGCTGCACATTTATACTTATAAGGATTATATGACGCTATTGATAATATCAGAGTGAAAAAACTTTTACTGCATGTACTACACTGATAACGATATTCGTTCATGCTTTTCACGCCCCATGCTGCGTAGATAACAATGACGAGTTTCCCCGTGGGAGTGAAAAACTTTTTACTGTTGTACCACGTTGATATTAATGTTCATGCTTCTCACACCCCTTGTATAACAACATTTATACTTATAAAGATGTTTACGACGCGATTGATGTATGAGTCATCATTTGTTATCTACCACGCAAGCACGCGTCTGTTAACATATATAATGCACCCTCCCCTTCTCTCCTTCTCCCTCATCAAAGCGCAAATACAGAGTTTAATAATATACAACAACAATTATCTATCGGCACACTATGACGCACATACGACACAAAACAAGTTTTCGAAACAACAAACTCTTAACACCCAACAACGACAACCGCTTTATCGACCGATCGCTGATAAAAGACTTCTACTCATATATAACTCAGACCATTGTATCGCTGTCCGACAACCACCTCTCTTTCACCAAAGCGCAAAAACAAACGTTATTTGCCAAATTAAAGTACAACGGACAATTCTTGCAGGCACTCTATATAACGCACGTACGACAAATTGCTATAACTCACGGACAAGTTCTCTAACGATACGGCACAGTTTATCGACAATTGAATAAGAAAAAAGTTCCAATACACGCCTCCATATACGCCCGGACTGCGATAACTACATTATGAAGAAAACAAGGCATGTGGATGGTTTGTCGTTTGGGTGGGGTCGGGGTGTCTATTCAAAGTATAGTTTTTTGAGCACCGCCTGTTGACCTGGTTCGTTCA